CCTTCATATTGTGACATAATTACTGCCAAAGTAACTAACTCTTTATAATTTTTACTTTGCCTTTGAAGAATTTCCAAAAGCACAAACAGGAATCTCTCCAGCTCTAATTGCTCTTCAAAATATTTTTTTCTCATAAAATTTCATATTTTTGTGTATTTTAAAGCTTTAAAACCATTATACAGCTGTGATATTTTAGATAAAAAGGGATAAGTGACTATACCTGCCCCTAAACATCTTCTGCATTCTTACAAGTCCTTCTTTTGTTCTCCTCAATTTAGTAATTACTGTCACTGCAGGAGAAGGCTGCCATTTTTCTTCCTTCATGCTTCGAAATTAAATCCTGCATGTTTTATATTTAGCTCTTGTTTTCTTATTAATTAGCAAATTTGTAGTGCTGACAGCCATGACACAGACATAGGACCTGTGCTTTGCAGCTCCCTCTAACTGTTCTAGCAGAAAAAAAAATCACACCTCAGCTCTTTTTGGCCTTACAGCTCACTTGTCAAGATGCAAACTGTAGAATTTGGGGGTTTGATGGTACAGCATCATACAGTGAAGAGACTTTTGATGAACTGCCACTCCAGCTCACAAATCGGCCCATTAGTTTTGCCTCACAGTACACATATTGGAGTTCCTTTGCAGCTTTACAATTTGTATCATTCATATATGTCTAAAGGAATACTCTGAAGTGAACACTCTACACGCATTAAAACCATAAGTATGAGTAATTAACTGAAAGATATAAATCTTCCACTACTGAAAAAAATGAGTAATGTGTCTTCTGACTAATGGACTGCAAATGCTATAAAAACATCAGGCTTATGGAAGTGTTCTCCTCCCCAGCCCCTAGAGCTTTCCAGACAAATATCTAATTATTTGAAAGTACAATTTCAATACAAGAATAATCTCAGCAGATTACTGTAAGTAGATATTGATGCATTCCTACAAAAACGTCTTCACTGGCTGTAGAATCCATTTACACTTTTTATGCTTTTTATGTATTTTTAAAAGTGCATTTTTTAAGTCTGCTATCAAAGACTACACATGTTCTAATATATAATTTTAAATTGCCAAAATTTAAACCAGTTAGAAATCACTCTGGAACTGGCATGAGGCCAGTAGAAGCTGAGGGGAGCTGGTTTAGACAAAAAAACCAATCATAAATCACATTTGAAAGTTTAATAAAATACTTCCATACTGAGCAGTATTTTAACTATTCTATTAAATAAGAGATAGTGCTTATAAAAACTATTTATACTTAGTAATACCATTTAAAAAATCCAAACCCAAGCAATTAAAGAGCAGGGAGGAGTATTAAAAAACCCTAAAATTAAGGGTTATACATCCCTGAATGAGCAAGACCCCCACAGAAGTTCTTCAGTTTGGGGAATTGAAAAAAAAAAAAAACAAAAACAAAAAACCAAAAGCTAAGCCTAAGAAACAAGTCTGTTGACATATTGAACCCACTACCTCAGAAAGGTTAGACTAATGTTTTTGGTTAAAAGTTAAAAATCAACTCTATCTATTCTAGGTGGTCTATCCCAGGCAGACCACTCAGTTTGTTCAGAGTGTGTTTTGGTTAACAACAGTCTAACCAACAAAAATCTGAGAAGAATGTGTTTAGGCAAATGTCTAACAGTAAAAGCAATCCAAGCAAAAGGGCGTTTTCTATTGCTACATGAAACTTTACAATATTTATATGTTTATATATAAGCAGTACATAAAATGAGGTGCCTCAAGAATGCCTAGGGGAAGGAGAGATTTCCTAGTTTGTCCCTGCATCCCTGCTGAGTGTGCCAGGCTTCTGTTGCAACCAGAAAGCATTAAGTTTCTGTTGAAGTGAACCTGTGGTTTTCTCTAACAATTTTACGATGACATGTCAGAAGAAAACTCAGCAAAAGGCAAAGAAAATTGGGCACTCTGGTGTTAGTCTAATCCGACTGATGTTCAAAAATGATCCATTTTTTTTTATACAGTACACTGCACACTTCAAAAATCAGCATTTGGTTGACTGCGTCCTTCGATGCTGGAATTGTACCCCATCTCTCCAGACTGTGATTGCTAAGGCCTTTCACAGGATCCAATATGAAGCACCCCTGAACTCATTTTATGCCCAAAAGGATGCTGCTGGGCTGAATGCAATGAAGAGAGGCAAAATTAAACACTCGTGGCAGAAAGGGGTTTGGTTCTCTGAGGAGGAGTCAACAGATTCAAAAATCATACAAACATCCCAAAGCTGGAGCTAAAACCTGTTAGTAATATAAAGCTTAATTGCTGGACATGATCCACTGCAAAAATAACAGAGATTTAACAATAACAATGGGCTGTTCAGTCCCTGGAATAGTTTTGCAAGTGGAACATATGGCTAGAACTCTGAACATCTTTCCTTTACATAGTCAGTGATTCAATTTTGAAGTGAAAGGCAGTGTTTCAGTTTACCATGTCAGAAGAACAATAACAAAAATATTGTTGGCACAAACACAGATCATCACATTCTGTATTGACAGATACAGTTTGGGAAGGGGTATTTTGCTGCACAAAGTGCTTGGTTAATGAGCTCATGAAAAAGAAATAACAACATACTGATTCATGCTTCAACTTCTTTTAAGAAGAGACTGACCAGCTGTCCAAGAACACCATCAGGAGACAATCATTTTCTAATGCTGACATTACTCTGACCCCCTTTCAAAAGCAGTAAGTACAGTCTGTCATCTCAGGAAACTTATATATCTTTGTAAATAAGTGTTTTGCTTGCACAGTGAAGCAAGCTTACAATCCTAGCTGCTTTTGCTTTTGCAAGGGAACATGATCAGCATCATAAGAACACAGGAATATTTTAGCAGTTATAACTTCTGTGAAGTCTGACTGCTTGATTCAGCACTCCAGCTCCTATAGCCTTTCCAAACTAATTAGAGATGTGTTATGACACTCATGAGAAATGCAACTGGGGGATTTCTGAGTCTTAATAAATCAACCATGTCATTTTATTCGGTGCCTTCTTTCCCTCTTGTGTGCTTTCAGTGACATATATCACATCAATTATTGCTTTTTAGACTACATCTGATACAGGTCAAAGTAAAGCAAAAAAAATTACTTATTGTATTTGTCATCATAAGATACCTTATTTTATAATAAAAATACTTTTATTGCATGCCAACCTGTAAGATCAATGATTGGCTTCTGAAATTCTTTGAAGTGTGAGCATGTGAATAGAATATCCAAATCTGACTGTCATGCAACTCTTGCAATAGTCAAGCTTCCTAAGTGGCCAATAAAATTATGCCTGCTTTTCTAAACCAATACTAGAAATGTTGGTGGTTACAACCTAAAGCTGACTAAAGTAAATGGGAAGCTTTCTACTAATTTCTTTCATACTTATCTCAGTTTAAAAAAAAAGAAAAAAGGAAAAAAAAAAAGGAAAACAGGAATAAAACAGGAATACAAGAAATCTGGTGCAATTTTCATCTACATCTGCGTAGAAGTAGAATGTCTGGGTACCAGCTGCTGGAAAATGGGAGCTATTCCATTTGCCCCCCCAGCTCAAAAGGAGGACCTGGTGGACACCCCCCCACACACAAAAGGTCTCCAAGCTCACTGCCTTACTTCACATCACTCCATGGAGTGATGTGAGCCTAATTCTCAGTGATGTATCATGAGGAATCTTATTTATTTACTGCCCTAAGCTGATCTTTGTGTCAATAAAGACAAAGTATTCATGTTAAAGACAATCATATCCAATTCTGACTCGAATGTAGTTTAGGTGTTTGGGTTGGTTTGGGGATTTTTGAGGGGGAGGGGCTTGGGGGGTGGTCTTTGTTCATTTAATTGGTTTTTTTAGTTGGTTGGGGTTTGGGGGGGGGGGGCGATGAGGGAGGTTGCTTATTACTTAATGTTGCAGATCCAAGAAAATGAGAGAATGAGCTTGGAGTTCCACCAAGAGGGTGGTAGAACACTCAGAAGAGGATTTCGAAGATTTGAAACTGGTGAGTTTGTATACAACACAATTTCATTGTGTTATCATTGATTCACTATTTTCCCAAGGGGAAAAAAATTGACCTTGTGCTGGCAAAATGAATCAGGAAAGGAGTGGGGAGTAAAATGTTTGCTATTCTACTGGGAAAGAATTTCAGAAGCAGAGTCCTCCATGTCAGATAAGCAGGAGAAAGGAACTGAAATCGCCCCCTCCACATCAAAACGTGTACATGCAACAGGTAGGAAGAAGGAACAAAGACACACCATGGAAAAACTTTCTAGTCTGAAGTAACCAGGCACAAATACACCATTAGAATACACATATGGACACCAAGAAAAACTGTACTTCTTAAAACAGCATGCAGGCTCCATGAAATGGATTCACCACTCCAGAAGAACATTGCTCCAGCCCCCTGGTTAACAAGTGCGGATCACTGCTGAGACACATCATTTAGCAATCTCTTTGAGCTGTGCTACCTTGGGTGGTTAATTGGATAGTGCCATGGTGTAATTGCACACAACTGTTCAGTGTAAAATCCCCAGTTACTGGAAGAAAAAAGTTGTAGAAAAATACAGAAAAGCTCCAGTAATTGTTTTAAAGTAAGTTGACAAGATGTTTTTGCTTCCACTCCACTGAGCAGACTCCTGCCTTTCTTGTCTGCTGTAAACTTGTGCTACCCAGCACATCAGTACTGCGTATGCGACAGAAGACAACCTTAGCAATCCAAGGAGACAGTATTAGATTCTAATTGTTCAATTTTCAAACAATTTTTTCGTTGAGACTCAGTCATTGTTTCCCATATGTACTCTAATAACCCACAATTGCCTACCTAGTTTCAAATTTTGAACTTTAAATTAGTCTAGGAGCTGTTACATGCTTTTAGGGCTGGTTCCAGTGCACCAACACCTCCCATGAAGAAAAACATTCAAATACAAATGCACTAATTAATCATTGAAGCAAATCCAAAGCTACAGGAAGCTGTGTGTGGTGTTACCCTGTAGAGAGGAAGGAGCAGACAATTACTTACCAGAGCCCATCTTTGAACAGTTGCTCTTTGCTAGTCAGCAGTGAGGGGAGTACACTAGAGCAGCAGCACTGCAGTCCACTCCTCAGCCCTCCTGTCTGGGTCTGGGCACACTCCTATTTTCAGTCATGTTTCAGAAAGTCAAATGCACAGAAAGCTGTGGAAGTTGACAAAAAATTGGAGCAACTGTTCAGCATCCTAGCCAGGACATACAATCCCTTCAATACCATAATGCACAATTAGTTCACCTCAATCTTTTAATGCTTTTTGATGCTGATTTCCACCCCTAAAAATGAGACCTGCCTGAGTGATTCACTGTATCTGTTGGCTGGAGTCAATCCTGCTCCATTTATCAGTTCCAGATTTTTTAGATCATAAAGATCACCATATCAAAATTACACTTAATGGTGTTAAAGAAACTATTTTTTGAATGAATACATATATAACTACTCTAAACAAAGCTGGTATTTTTTCTAATGTCAGTGGTGATAAACGCACTCTCCTGAGCCTGTTCAGTAGAAAGAAAATTGGAATTTTTCTCTTAGAACCTTCTTACATCTCCAAACCCGATTGGCACCCTGCTGTATTTCTTGTACACTTCTAATGAAGGGTGCAACCACTTTAACCTCTTCCAATTGAGGCAATGGTTTATGACACCCAGCTATCACTTCTGATAGCACAAAACAAAGTACCTTCAAAACACCGTGCACCTGTAAAGGCAAGACATGAGCATATGCATGGGCAAGAGGATACATAACTAGGAACAAATAAAAGCATAATAGCTTTATGGATCATCAGGTCTTTAGGAATGATGGATATCAGAACTGTATTCCCACTGAATCTGAGCTGTATTTTGGTTTTATTTGTTAGGAATTTCCACTCCTGCTAGGACGAGCTTGATGCACTACAAACAGCACTTAGTGACCTTTGCCAATATGATTTATATTGCTACATAACTAAAAAGCAGTAAAGCATATGTGGTTCCCCTATCTGTACTACAGTCCTCATTGTCGGTTTACCTTTGCTAGAGTTTAATTAAGTGCAAAGATAGAGTTGATGATTTCTGGTGCAGCAAAAGTTTTATTTTTTTCCCGAAAATATTGCTACATCATCTGATTTTATAGTGGAATAGTTGGCAGCTACTTCTGTAATTTAAGCATAGAGTTAAAAATATGAATGTTGTTATGCTTAATTAGATATTCTGTATACAGTTTTTCTTCATCAACTAATTTATACACAGATTAGAGCTGGTTTATTGTGCTATTACATATTTTATATATGTAAAAATACATTTGATCTGAAAGAAGACAACTTGCACTTAAAAGCAAGAAGAAAATTAATCTGATTAACTGCAAGTTATTTAAATCAATAAAAACGCAGCTAAAAAAATACCTCACGCCAGGATTATTAGCCAGCAGTGATCCTGATACAGCAACAGTGGTAAAATGTTCCCTCAGTGATCTGTATAACCATGGAGTACTGCAAGATTTTAGCTCCAACTTAGCCAAGTTCATCTGCTTCTTTTTTTCCTTTTTTTGTTAATTCTACGCACAGTTAGTCTGCAATGGTCTTCATGTTTTACATTACTGGATTCAGAGACAGCTTCTAGCACATGTTAATGTGTATTCTTAGGGAAGAAGTGTTTATAGTATGGGTACTGAGAAGAGCTAGACTATGTTCAGCTTCAGAAGAAATTCTTATCCCATGATGTGTGGTCACCTGTAAAGTACCCATCCCACATATTTCCCACGGAATATCCACCTTGTTTCGCAAAAAAAGGCAAGAATTTGAATTTTAATCAGTTTTTCTGATAAGAGAGTCCAATTTGAGTCCACCATGAGCTCATGAACGGGACTCGTCCTCAGGCTCTCATTCCCACATCCCATCCCGTGCAACACTGCTCCCACCACCTCCTCCCTGCCCAGACCCACCTCTTTTCCTGCTGTGACCCTTCCTGCTCCCATGCATTCCTATCAAAATCCCTGCTCTCCTCACTGCCCTGGCACAGTCTGCTCACCCTTCCTCTTCCCTCTCCATGTTTTGGCCATGCCACAGTGCTTTTCCACAGAGCTGTCCCTGTCCCAACAGGACCCTGCCCTCCATTTCTGTACTGGCCACCTCAGTACCTGAGGCAAACAGATTTTGGCTGAAACAGCCCAAACCCACAAATAACCCAACACCAGAAATAAATCACTCCCTGAGAATAGAGAAGGGGTGGCCCTGAGGCAGCTCCAGCCCTCCTTACCAAGGAGCAGCTTGCCCCACGTGTCCCTCCAGGGAGCCCCTCCCCATGCAGGTGACATCCCCCCTCACGCAGGTGAGCCCCTCCCCACATAGATTACATCCCCCCCCTCACGCAGGTGAGCCCCTCCCCATGCAGGTGACATCCCCTCTTGTGCAGGTGAGCCCCTGCCTACCGAACTTCCACAAGCTTTGGCTTCTCCACCCTCTGGGCACACCAGTCACCTGCCCCGGGAAGCACACGCTCCATTTTTGAGGCACCCGTGGTTCAGAACTGCACATACACACACACTCCCCCAGAAAAATCCTCACTTTACAGCCCCTTTCTTCACAGGAAAGGCAGCTCCATTTTGGGTTGGCCCTGAAGGCTCAATGTATCTGAGGAAATACTGCCCCTAAACACCACACGGTACAATACACCAAAGGAAAGGGGTTTGCTGCTTCACATCAGTTCTCTTCTTTAGGTTTTCCCTTTGCTGGATGCTATTTTAATAAACACAGCCCCTCTTGTCTTACCTAACAGCCTTTTTTTCTCTTAGAGATTCGTAAGGTTTCCATTCTAACATCAGGAGCAGAAAGCCAGCCCAGTACCCAAGCCCAGACAGAGCTTCAACATCCACAGAGACTCTCCTGACAACGTGAAGAGGTGGCACCCAAAGCTCTTAATACTGCTGACACTCTTTCAAACAAGAAAAGCAAGTGTTCCACAAGAGAAGGAATTGTCACTGGAAAAATTAAACAAAATCCAGGCTTAAGCTTTCTTCCCAAATTTTCTTGATTAGGCATCAAGAAAGTTATAGCGCACAAATTTCTGTGCTCCTGAGGACTTCTGATCTACTTATCACTGAAGTTTGCCCCTAACCCCGAAAGGGAATCTGTTCCAAGGAAAAACATGATGAAAAAGACCCCAGTATGACACTGTCTCCCATTTCCCATGGACAAAGGAAAGCATATTTGTTTGTACAAGAAATAACAAACCCAGCAGGTAGAAAAGTTTTGACAGAATAAGGGGTTTGGCTTTAAAAACTCTTATTTTTACCCCATATCTAGTTTGCCTACCACATCAACTAAAAAAGGGACAAAAAAAGCAGGAGGAGGAAGAAAGAGAAACCATCAGCCTAATATACTCCAAGGCAAACGGGTGCATCTCCCCTACGCCTGAACACCCGACAGAAGCTCTTTATTTTAGTATTCACAGGAGCAAGGAATGGTGAGCATAACAGCTGGAAAAGGGATTGAAACCAGTTAGTACTGTGTGTGCATAACAATTTTACCTGTATTATTTATTACTGGGATATAGTTCTGTATGTAGCATTGATTTCTTTTGTTTATCCAGTAGCAAATGGATGTGGACTAATAATGATTCTTCGATTAGACTGTGAAAGTTTGTTTTACACTAGCAATAAATTCTTTGCTTTATGTATGAGTTGTGTTTCCTTTTTGACAAGATTTTGATCATGACAATGAAATTTGGACATTCAGCATTAAACTGAATCAAATGCTCTGCTTGAGATTTTTGACTCACTCCTTGCACACAGAAGGGACAAGATACAAGAACATTCAAAAGAATAAGCCTTCACACTTACCTAGGTTACCTGGTCAGCTTTCCAAGAATAAAGAAAGGGCTACTAGACGGAGTCAAAATGCAGCTTTTACTCCTTTCACGATACCTTTTCTTTAATCAACATGGAGAAGCTGGCTGTAACAAGCCTGATATATTATCTCTATCTCTTTGGGTGGTGGTTTTTTCTGTTGGTTGTTTTTTTTGTTTTGTTTTCCACAAAGTGTTGTATTTCTTATATAAGAAATCTCAATCATGAAACAAAACTGCAGAATCTTTGAAAACAGATTTTTCACACTTAGGATTTTTCCCTCTAAGGCATATATGTTACCAGTAATAACATCTTAAAAATGTAATAGCAAATTTTTCAGTGATCTTTTTTGCCCTAATTATTTTAAATGATTAAATCCAATGCCAGCAACACCAATACATATACCTATGGCAGTATGTCTACACTCTATTACTGGCAATTATAAATGTCACTGTGAACAGAAATTCTCCCCACATTCTTGCCATATAGAATATGACAAATACAAGATTTTCAGAAGCCAAGCAAGAGTATTTGTTTGGTCTATGAAAAAGAAGGGAAGTGAACCCCAGAGCAGCAATTCACCCTTGCCTGGCAAATAATATCTGAGACTTATGGTTAAATATGACTTTGTTATACTGTACCTTTAGAAGCACATGAAAGCTCAACACAGTAAGAGCAAGTACAACAAACCAAGTATATAACATAAGACACAGCTTATTACATTGACATTACTATTACTATGGGATCTGATTTTAAGCGTGATCTGAAAAACTTCTGCCTGAAAGTCCCCTGTTGACAGGGAGCTCCATTGTACCTCTTATCCTTCTGATCACACTTAATGGAACAGTAGTGAAAATCAGGAAGATCACAAGACAAAAATGAGAGCTGGCTTAGTAATTATATCTCCTGGGACTCCTTTATGTTTTACCTTAAGAAGCTACAGGTCACCACCATCCCTTTTATTTCCCTTTTTCTTGTTTGAGTAAACATTTCTGCCTGCCAATTTGCAGGCATAGTGACTCCCACAGTTACCGTTTTCTGTAAACGTAATGGCTAAAAATCAATAGTTGCTATAATTCTTTCGAAGTTCATTATAAATTTCAATGCAACCAGAACTAGTTAAGATCCCCTGGCTGCAATGACTCAACCACATGAATAAATCTAAACAAATGAATAACTATTTTGGGGTCAATGCAATTTTTCACCAGTGTGAAGAAAGTCTCAAAGACCTTTTTATAAGCCAAAGATTAGGAATGAGGCAAAAATCTTCCTGGAAGAACAAACACCTGTGTATATTCACTTATTCACTGCTGTAGTTTCACTC